CCAGGACCAATTCACCAAGGTCGGAGCAAGCGATCCCTCTGGGCCCAGCCCCGTTGGCAGCTCTGGTGCGGCGCCAGAGATCACTTCCCTGGCAGGGTCCCTGCCATCTGGTGCTTGTTCTGGTGGTGACGACAGGCCAGATACTCCCATGGCGGCAGACGCAGGCAGGTCTCAGGGTTCAGCGGACGACTCACGCATGGGCCACCATGACCCGCCCGACGACGACAGCGGTGAAGGAAGGCGCGAAAGACGGGCTCCCCCTTCACAAGATGGGGCCCGACTACGAAGAGGATGAGCCCGCCCGTCCTCCCACGCCTTCCGAGACGTCCCAGGAGGGCGATGATAATCGCTCAGGCGGAGATGGCCCACAGCGCAGCCCGTCGGCGGGCAGCTCCGACACCAGCCGCGAGGATACCGCGACTTCAGTCACAGAGGGCACGCCCTACGCCGATCGCGGGAGGGCTCCAGCTCGAAACCCCGCGAGGCACGAGAGGACCAGCGACGGTGGCACCTCGCGGTACGAGCGCGTTCCCGCGCCCACCCCGACGCCCCCTGAGCGGAGGCCCTATTACTCTCGCCATACTGGCTCTTCGGAGCAGGACGCACTCAACATGCTGTCCTGCCCTGATGGAGGCGGCCCAATGTACAAAGTCAGGCTGGGCACCGTCGAACTCGAGCGTCCCGACGAGACACCAGCCAGTTGCATATCCAGGCATCAGTCGCAGCTGGGAGCAGTCTTTTGCGCACTGTGGACAGCGAACACGCAGCGTACCCTGCTCCCTGGATGGAGGGCGCCCAAGTCCGACCCGAAACTACACATGCCCGCGGAGATCATCAACTTCCTAGAGGCCTGGAAGGACTGCGGGTACGACGCCTACGAGATGGACAGGAGACTGGGCTACGGTATCGACTGGAACAAGATACGAGCCAACTACCTGCGTCACTCCCAGACAGACGACTGGAGCAAAGGCGGCTATCGCCACACGGGCTGGCGCGACCGTGCGACAAGTTCCCGGGGCACCTGGAGCAGTTGGCAGGGCGAGTGGCGCGACGGATGGCGTGAGGATCACTGGCAGGCGGGTGGCAAGCGCGGCGGAGGTTACCCTGACGATCGGGATGATCGAGATGAAAAGAGATTCCGCGGGAAAGACTGAACTCCCTCCCTGCCCTCACCGCCCCCCAGTGCCCGCCCCGCCGCCTGCGCTGCACAACGCACCACCGCGGCCCTCTGCCGCCCTTTCCCTCGACCTGGGGCGGCACTGCCCCCCCCCCCCCCCCTGAGCGGCGCCCTCTCTCACCCGTGGCCTTGGGGTGCCGTTCGGTAATGCCGTCTGCTCCGCGCGTGACACCACGCATCCTGCAAACCGCTCGCCACTGGCATCACTGCCTTTCTCCACCGGTGGCCGACGCCTTCTTGTCATTCGGCTCCTCTCTCCCCGCCACGTTTCATTCTGAATCCCAGCGGACGCTGCCCGGGCCGCGCCGCTGGCCCCTAATCGCGGCGCTCTGCCGCCCTCCGCCCGATGCGCGCGCCCCCTGCCTTTGGATCCAGGTGCGCGCTTCGGCAATGCCGTCCACCGCCTCTCCGCAGCGGGCTCGCGGCCTCAGGCCCTACTGTAGCTCTCTCACCGCCGGGCCTTCCTGGCCTGTCAGTGGGCCACTGCCGCCTGACCACTGGCTTCTCCTTGGACTTTCTAACCGAACGATCGGCCTTCCGCCGTCACCCTGGACCTTTCAAACAAGAAGGACGGCCTTCCGCCGTCACCCTGGATCCGTTGGCTCTGTGGGACACGTCTCGGGTACAAGACGTCCTCGTCCCTCTGTGCTGGGCGACTCGGTTGGGTATCGCTGGGCCACCTTTGATGTGCACACTCCTAGGGGTCTGCCGTATATCGTGCCCTTCCATACCTTCCACTCGTCGGATCTGGGCTGTCGCATTTCGGGTGTGGATGTTCTGTCTTGTCATCATTCTCCACACCCTGGATGCGCTTCTTGCGTTGCGACTGGCTCGCCGTCCGCTTCTCAATTGGCCCTTGTCCCCAGTCACCCTGTGGTACCCTTCAGGCTCCATGGATCGGTGCCCTCTGGACTCCCATTGCTGGGCGGCTTCCTACCGCGACCTTGGATCAGTGGCTTTGTGGGACTTGCCTGGGTATACACGGTCTCGTTCCGCCTGTGCTCTCCGTCTCATTGGACTGCATTGTGACACTGTGTTGTGCACACGCCGCGTTTCGACGGGATCGTGCATCAGGTGCCCTTCCACGCTTCGGGTCTGGGCCGATACGTCTTGGTGTGGTTGTCTTCTCGGATCATGGATACACCTTGATGTCGCTGACGCCGCGGCTCGCTGCCGCCGTCGGGATCCTCGGTGGACCTACCACCCCGACCTCTGTGCTACCCGACAGGCTGGGGCTGGCGTCCTCGGTCGTTCCCTTGTCCGCTCTTGGACGTTGGAACGTTTTCGCGCCATTTTGGCTGCGCTAGGTGGTCTCTGTGCCTACCCCAGGCCTGTTGGGACCTGCGTGCCCGTTCAGGGGCCGTCATGGCACCTGGATTGCATCATCTTCGCTTCCCTGGACGCTGTCGTGAGCCGCCTGATCCGCGGCCCTGCGCGCGTTAGGTAATTTAGTCGCGTCCGCGGCCCGTTCGCGACCTTCCGCCGCTGGCGCTTCCGCCTGCGGCTGTTAGAAAAGTAACCCCACCATCCCATCCAGAAACGATGCCCAGAGGAAATGCCTCGATCAGGGAAGTGGGCAGCACACAAAGGAAGGGTACCCCAGTGGAGGCCGGCTGGAGCGTCTTAGGGGCCTCTTGGCGGTCCCGGGCGCCTCTTAAAGCGTCTTGGGTGCTTTGGAAAGCTTCTTGGGGCCTCTTGGGGGGCTCTTGGGGGCCTCTTGGAGGCCTCTGGGGCGCTTGTTGGGGCCTCATGGGCGCCTCGTGAGGCCCTCCTGAAACGCTCTTGGGAGCCTTCAGAGCGCTCTTGGAGCCTTCTTGGGCCATCTTGGAGTCATCTTGAAGCCTCGGATGACCATCGGAAACGAAAAGGCGAGAAAACCCAGCATGTTGATTTTCCCAAGGTTTTGGAATGATTTTGGCCTCTTCGGGGCCTCCTGGGGGAGCTCTTTTGCCACTTGGAGCCGTCCTGAAGCGGTCTTGGGGCCTCTTGGAGCCATCTTGGAGGTCATCTTGGGCTCCCCCAGGCGCTCTTGGAGTCATCTGAAGCAGTGCCCCCCCCCAGGAGGCCCAAATGTGGCCAAAACCTTAGTAACATCAATGATTTGGGCATTCTCGCCGAGGCCTCTTGGAGCGTCTTGGGTGCCTCTTGGGGGGCTTTGGGGGCCTCATGGGGGTCTCTTGGGAGCCTCTTGGGGGCATCCTGGGGGCCTCTTGGGAGCTTCTTGGGGCCACATGGGGCCATCTTGGGGCCATCTCGGGGCCTCTTGGGGCATCCTGGGGGCCTCTTGCGGCCATCGTGGAGGAAATCGATGAAAGAAGAGGGGAGCTCTAATTAGCGCTGCCCCCTCAGAAGGCCAAAATGGTGCCAACACCATAGTAAAATCAATGATTTTGGCTTCCTCGCCGAGGCCGTTTTGGACGCTCTGACCGCTCCCCGCCCCTCCTGTCCAGGTCAGTGGGGAGGGGGTAGGGGGAGGGGTAAACCCCTACCCGAAGGGGAAGAGGGAGGGGTGGAAGAGGAAACGCCCTAAACCACCGACGCCCAGAGGGCTGGTGGGATTTCAAATGGGACCACGCGGGCCTGTCCGCTCGCGCATGTCGAGATCAGTCAACGGCGTTTGCGCGCATGCTTGGGGCGGGATAGTACCATGTGGGCCATTCGCGCGAGTCGGCCACGCGCGCATGCCAACAACTTCCCAACACCTTCATCAGCGACGCATTGACACCAGCCTCGCTATCGGCATTACCAGCGTCGGTACCGCTATTGCCGTTGTCGTCGTCATCGTAATCATCGTCGCCACCATCGCTAGTATCATCATCTTTGGCGCTGCCGTCGGCGTCATCATAATACCGCGCCCATCCGAGACATCGACCCGCATTTTCACGCCCGCGCGCCTGCGCGGCTTTCGATGCGCGGTGAGAATTTTCATATGTAAACGCCATCGCGGCCACATCGTCTGTTTCAAACCAGCTGGCCGCTCTCCGCGCGAACTTGCGCGCGCCAGCCCGGCCGCAAAGATGCGCCAGCCATGTCCAAGCAGTCCTCGCAGTCGCCGCCGCATGGGTTTGGCAAACCAAGTTGCGGATGGGATGTTGGGATGCTTGCGCGAGCTTTGGTGCTGACATTTCCAAGTTCTACAGACTAGTTGCGCCACGCAGCTTGCATGACATAGTTTGCACCACATAGCTTGCACCACATAGTTTGCACCACATGGGTGACACCACATAGTTCATACCACGTAGGTTGAACATCCATTTTGAAATAATTGACCCGTTGGGGTCCGCGCTGGCTGCCATGGCTAAAACATTCAGTTTTTCGTTTAGAAGGCCTTGCGGCGGGTGCCGCCGACCCTGAATGGGGACGACGACGACGACAACGGCTATCGACGAAAATGACCCTCTGGCTGGAGCCGAACGTTTTTTCCAGGGATCGCAGGTCTAGAGGTTGACACCAACACCAAGATCGGCGGTGTGCCTCCACAGGGGGAAGACGATCCCGATCTCGGTGATGGTGGTAATGTTCTGGCTTCCGAGGTGGCCGAAGTATTACCACCAGCAGCGAAATCCAGGATCGTCTTCCCCCTGTGGAGGCAACCCCCTTGTTGGTGTTGGTGCCCATTTCCAGGCCTCCGAAGGGATGTGCGTTCCCCCCCGGGGCCCCAGGGCGGCGACGACGACGACGACGATTCCGACCTAAAAGCTTTTCAAACAGTCGGATCCAAGCATATTTTCATAGCGATGGATATTTGGGCCTTAGCTGTGTGCTCCTGACTTGTTGTTCCCCCCCCTCTGCTTGGAAAGCGGCTGGGCCACGGTGGTCGGAGGTGGCCGTGCGGCTGGGGGTGGCGAGCAGCGACTCGGCCGTGATGGAGAAGGAGGTCAGCCGCATGGCGTCGTCGTTTACCAAGGGCAAGGCCCCGCCGGGGGGGGGAGCCCGGAGTGAGCTTTTGCAGGGAGCTGCCGACCCTTGCGCACATAGAGTCGGGGCGCTACACAAGGAACCCTTCTCGTTGGGGAGGGGCTCCATGTTCCTTCATTGTTTCGCAGCTTGCCTTAGGTTGTCTTCAGGTTTTCGAGGGGGAATCGAAGTTTAACTTATTGAAAAAAGGGGCCTCGTTCCTTATTAAGGGTTCCTTAGGTCAACGCCCCGACTGTATTGGGAAGCCGGGCAAGGGCTGCTAAGTCCGTGGCTGCTAAGATCGACCTCCTGGAAGTTGGCTTCGTCCTCCCGGGAAGAAGCCCGTGGATGGTTTCGCGTGCCGCGCCGCATTCCGGGAAGTTGTTTTTTCTTTCCGGGAGGGCCGCTTCAGCAGCCACGGTTTTAGCAGCCCTCGCCCAGCTTCCCACACATGTCTTAGAGCTTGTATGGGGTAGGAGGGCAGGAGCATTGTGGTTTGCATTCGTGGGCGGTCAGGCTCAGAGTGGCAGGAGTGAGGGCGCGCAAATCACCAGAGCCCATTCCGAGGGCACGCCGCGCGGCAGAGACCCTCCACAGGCAGCGCCGCGGTGCGCAGCGGTCTCAGCTGGTGCCGAGGTGGTGATCTTCCACGGTCTGGGACCTCCTGGCCTCGGGAACCGCGCTCTTCCTGGACACTGGGAGCCGGCGGGTAGGAAGTCGTCAGGTGCCCCCGTCCGCCGCCTCCCCTGGTGCCCAGGGAGGCCCTGTGCCCTTGGCCGTGGACGTGCACAGTCGGGGCCCTGAAGGAGGAGCTCTTTTCGTTGGGGAGGGGCTCCGTGTTCCTTAAGTGTTTCACAGCTTGCCTCAGATGTTCCTTGTGCTTTCGACGGGAAATCGAGGGTTAACTTAAGGAAAAAGGGGGCCTCGTTCCTTTTTTAGGGTTCCTTAGGTCAACGCCCCGACTGTACAGACTCCTGCCTCGCAGAGAGGGCCGGCGCACTTGGGGCCCGTGCCGTGCGCCGCCGCTGCGGCAAGAGGCCGCCGCGGGGCGCTTCAGGGCTGATCTCCACAGGCCGCGCGAGCACCCGGCCGGTGTCGGGCGACTGTCGTCAGGGCGTGCGTTACAGTGAGCGGCTTGAGTAAGGAACACCTACTTGTCAAAAGGGGCTCGGTCGTTCCTTAGGCTTGCATGCGTTACTTACGGTTCCTCATGCGTCATTTGTTGTGTATCGCTCCTTATGCGTCATTCCTTGGGATAAGAAAGGGGCTTCGTTCCTTATTTATCGTTCCTTAGGTCAGGCCGATGACTGTAGTCCAGTGTGTGTTTGCCCCGTTCCGCTTCACCAGCAGCAGGCAGGCTCGAGCGGCGCTGTCGGCCTTCCTCGGTTTCGCTGCTCGCGTCGCACGCAGGGGCCTTCGGTGTGCGGGCACACACCTTGACGCCGACGCACCTTCCGACGACCACTGCGACCTCTCTTTTTTTGTGCGTGCGCCTGCTTTCCTCCAGACCCTTCCTCTGCAATGCCGAGTGGCAGTTGAGCTAAGCGCACTCCGTCGCAGTACCCTCCGTGGGGCTGTCGCCTGGTCGTTGGAGGAGCAGTGCGGTGCACGTGCGCGCTCGCCCACCGGTGGCTGTGCTGGTGGATCCCGCCTGCACGCCCTCTGGCCCAGAAGCCATTCCTCTGCGCGTGACTTCCTTCGCGCAGCCCGCCCACCTGCAACGCCAGGTGCAGTTGAACTCAGCGCGCCCCGCCTCAGTGCTTGCGACAGGGCCTCCACTTCGCCGCTGGAGGAACACTCTGTGTGTGTGGGTTTTGTGTGTGCGTTTCTTCTCCTGTAGAGTGCGAAGCAAAGGCCACTTGAGCCTTCTTCAAACACACGTGACGTACAGTCGGGGCGCTGAGGAAGGAACCCTTTTCGTTGCCGAGGGGCTCGGCGTTCCTTGATTGTTTCAAAGTTTGCCTCGGGTTTTCCCGAGGTTTTGAATGGGAAATCGAAGTTGAACTTCTGGACAAAAAGGGGCCTCGTTCCTTATTTAGGGTTCCTTAGGTCAACGCCCCGACTGTACCGGTTTCCTTCGTAAGCTTCTTTTTGGGAGAAGGTCATGCTGTGCCACGCAGTGCTCGACAGCAACGCAGCCGCGTACGACGAGCTCGTCTTCGGCGCGAGCGCGACCAGCGAGGGCTGGCAGCAGCGAGTGGTGCTCGTCTGCAGCCTCGCCCGCTACGTGGGTGCGATCCGAGGGGTGATTAGTGGGAGGGCCGGTGGAGGTCAGGCATGCTTCGGATTACAGCCGGGGCCCTGCAGAAGGAACCCTTTTCGTTGGGGAGGAGCTCGGTGTTCCCTGACTGTTCTGCAGTTTGTCTCCGGCTGTCCCTCTGTTTTCGACCGGAAATCGAGGGTCAATTTGTGGAGAAGGGTCCCTAGGTTATGACTCGTTCCTTGTTTAGGGTTCCTTATTTATGTGGAGGAGGGGCCTCGTTCCTTATTCAGGGTTCCTTCGGTCAGCGCCCCGACTGTAGGAGGAGTCGAGACAGGACGTTCCCTGGCGATCTCGGAGCGTTCTCGGCAGCGCTCTGCAGCGGCCGCGCCGCCCGCGACACACCTCGGGTGCTGCCGGGAGTGGCCCGGGCGCCCACTGGAGGAGGAGGAGGAGGAGGAGGAGGAGGAGGAGGAGGAGGAGGAGCAGGAGGAGGAGGAGGAGGAGGAGGAGGAGGAGGAGGAGGAGGAGGAGGAGGAGGAGGAGGAGGCTTGTCGCCCCATTCTGGAGCCCGCGGCTCGTTTTGGGCCTCCCGGGAGGTGCTCTGGCGGCCCTTTGGGCTTCACCCGAACAGCATCCACGCCCGCTGATTTTCAGAGAGATTCGATTTGCCCCCATCCGCACATCTGTACATGTTTGTTTGTATGTACGTATGTATGATCGGATGTGTGTATGTATGTATGCACGTATGTACGTATGCAGGTATGTATATATGTATGTATGCATGTGCGTATGTATGCATGTATGCATGTCTGCATGCATGCATGTATGCATGTATGCGTGTATGTATATAGTATGTGTTTATGTATGCATGCATGCATGCATTTATGTCTGTCTGCCTGCCTGCCTGCCTGTCTGTCTGTCTGTCTGTCTGTCTGTCTGTCTGTCTGTCTGTATGTATGTATGTATGTACGTACGTACGTACGTACGTACGTACGTATGTACGTATACATGTATGTATGCATGTATGTATGTATGTATGTATGTATGTATGTATGCGAAAGAGCGTGTTCTACTGCTGCTGGCGGAAAACCGGACGGGGTCACTACGGGTTCGAACCCCTCCCCCCCCTCCGGAAAACCGGGGGGGGGGGTCTTTACCGGTGCGAACCTCTTCCCCCTTCCCCCCCAGTCCATCATGAAAAGAGGGGGTCACTACCGGTTCGAACCCCCCCCCCTCGAAAACCGGGGGGGGTCATTACCGGTTCGAACCCCCCCCCCCCTTCGAAAACCGGGGGGGGGTGCGGACAGTGGTGGGGACGGTGGTGGTGGGGACAGTGGTGAGGGATCAGCGGGACAGTGGTGGGGACAGTGGTACAGTGGTGGGGACGGTAGGACAGTGGTGAGGACAATGGTGGGAACAGTGGGGACAGTGGGACAGGGTGGGGACGGTGGTCGTGGGGACAGTGGTGTGGGGACTGGAAATGTGGTGGAAACAGTGGGACAGTGGAGGGTACAGTCGTGGTGGGGACAGTGGTGAAGGCGATGGCGAGGACGGTGGTGGGACAATGGGACAGAGGTACAGTGGGGACAGTGGTGGGGACAGTGGGGACAGTGGTGGGAACAGTGGGACAGCTCAGTGGGACAGCGGAGGAGTCAGTGGGACAATGGGGACAGTGGGGATAGTCGGGCAGTGGTTGGGGCCGTGGAGAAAGTGGGGAGAGTGGAACAGTGGTGGGAACAGTATTGGGGACAGTGGGGACAGTGCGACAGTGGTGGGGGCACTGGTGGGGACAGTAGGGACGGTGGTGTAACCAGTGGGGACAGTGGTGAGGACAGTGGTGCTGGGAACAACCGTGGGGGATGTGGTGCGGACGGTGGTAGGGACCGGGAGTCGTTTGCTGGCGGTGAGGGGGGGGGGAGGGGTTCGAACCGGTAGTGACCCCCCTCCGGTTTTGGGGGGGAGGGGGGTTCGAACCGGTAGTGACCCCCCCAGTTTTCGATGGGGAAGGGGTGGGGGGGAGGGTGGGAGGGGGGGGGGTTTTGCCGAGGGAGGGGAGGGGGGGGGAGGGGGGGGGGGGGTCCAGCAGGGGGGGGGGATTTTCGGAGGGGGGGGGGGAGGGGGACCCCCGGGCTCCGGAGGAAGAGGGGGGAATTTTCCACAGTAAAGCGGCGGTGGATCACGCTCTTTCATTTATGCATACATGTATACATGTATACATGTATGCAGGTATGCATGTATGCACGTATGCAGGAGGGCAGCGCGGAGCATGTATGCCGCTGCCAATCTGGGAGGGCAGCGCGGAGGAGGACGCCGAGACCCAGGGGCCTGCAGCCACGGCGGGACCGACCAGAGCCCGACGGGAAACTGTCCTTGGGGCCCCTCCCGTGCCCCAGCGGGAGGCTGAAAAATGCGAGCTGCGGTTGGGGCAGCTGCTCCTCGTCGCTCGCATTGCCGGCGACCGCTGCCGCTTCAACCGGGAGGCAGCGGATGCGGCTGACGACTTGCGCGTCCACGGGCTCCTGGTGAACACATTCGCCGGGCACGCTCGCGCGCCGAGCTTGCTCCGTGTCGCTGTACATTCGGCTGTCCCGCGACATGTTCGGTTCAGCTGCATGCGGCCTCCCCCTCTCGGGGAGCAAGGTGTACGAGTATGTGGCAGACCGTCGCGCCCCGGGCGCGCCGCTGACGAGGGCGCAGGGATTTCTGGAGGCCGCCCTTCTCGTGCGCGGCACGCTGGGCGTGGCGGCGGAAAACGGTTTGTCCCGTAGCGCCCGGGTGCGTGGAGCCGTGGCGTGGAGTTGGCACCGCGAGCGCCTCACGGTCAAGGCTCGCCCCCTGAAGGTGCAGCACTTGCGCATGCTGGAGTCACTGACCAAGGATGCGCCGCCCCGTGCGGGGCTTGAGGCCGGCTTCCTGTGCTACCTTGTTCACGGCCGTTGAACGGCGCGGGATCAGGCCAAGGGGGAGGACGAACCGTGCGTCGATATGTCAGCGGGCCACGGTTTTCTAGATGCGCGGGCTGCCCGCGCTAAGACCGCCAGAGGGCTCAAGAGGGCCAGGCTGCCCGGCTTGGGCTTTCCGTGGTCGGGATCGCAGAAGGGCTCACGGACGACGCGATCGAGACGTGGGCAAAAGCGTGGCTCCGCGTGCGGAAGGCAGCTGGTCTGCGCGCCAGCGAGGGCCAGTGCCTGATGCCAGCTGAGTCCGCTGGCGGCGTGCTCGTCCACGACGCGCCGGCGTCTGCCCCGCAGATCACGGCCATGCTCCGTAGAAGCCCCATTCCCGCTGGGGCGGAGCCAGCAGAGGTGGGGCACTATGCGTCACACTCTCGCAGGCCACTTCGCTGTCTTGGATGGCCAAAGATGGGGCGCCCCTGCCCGTCAGACGCATGTTGTGCGGGCGCGGAAAGCCAGGTGGCAAGTTGGTCATTGAGTATTCTCGCGACGCCATGGCTTGGCCTCTGCGAGAGCTCAAGGGCGTGCTCGTGCAGATTGCGGCGGGGGACTTTGACCCGATGCGATTCGCTCGGGGAGGCGGCGCGAAGGCAGATCCCCCGCGACCCCGACGCCATCGGGCGAGACGGCCGGCGCGCCCTCAGCTGAACAGGACGAGCGGCGCAACGCCCCGGAAGAAAGGGTCGATGTCGCCAGCACGGACTCCGAGGTCGAGGTCAGCGACGGCGAGAGCGCTGGGAAATCTGATGAGGCGGAGGAGCGCGAGGCGTTGGCGGCCGCAGGGACAGTGGGCAAGGACTTGGATTGGAGGGTGAAAGAGGGGCAACAGGGGGTTTTCAATGGGGGCTGAATAGCCCATGTATGCTCGGTGTATCGCTCATGTATGTGATCGGGTACGATCGGCATCCAATGCTGGCAGTCATGGAGGGCCAGTCGTTCGTGCCTGCGCTTTGCCCGCGCGGGCAAACGCGCCGTCTATCCATAATCGTTCATGCGTGCGGGCGTTCTTGCATGTCGTGCGTGGGGCGGCGAAGTGGAGTGCAAGTGTTTCTTGATTGTGCGGTTGATGACCGCGTACGTTTCCAAACGATGGATTTTTGACGCCCGAGACAGATTCGGAAAGGGTCCCGCGACTTTACCAACATGTGAATTTACATGCTCCTTCTTCCGAAGATGTGAATTCACATTTTCCTTGTTCCCAAACTGTGAGCTCACATTCTGGCCCCTTCATACATATCCCTTATAATACAACATTCCAAAATGCGAATTTACATTTATCCAACGTGTGATTTCACCTTCGAAATCTTTACAACGCTTTAAAATGTGAATTCACATGTTTCTTTCTGTGATTGTGCTTTACCCCAGAATGTACAGTCACATTTTGCTCAGGTCCTCAAGATCCCCAAAGCTGAGGCGCAGTGTTCCGCATGTCAGGTTGGCTGGGCAGATTTTGACACTCACGTCACCGTTTTCGTTTATTCAAACAGTTTGTTTGCGCCCTCGGTGCACGTTGCCTTCGTTGCGTTCCCCGCCCCCCCCCGCCCCAATGCTTCGTTTACCTTCAAGCCTTGCGCATGGGTGCAGGCGGGGAGCTTAAACCGGTTCTTCCGCCGAGCACAGCAGTCGAGGATGCATCGCCCGTGCATGGCCCATACAGACACCATTGCCGGGACCTTGCGCACGACCCCCAGTTTCACCCTCCAACCGGAGGATACGCTCGGTTTTCCACCTTTGTCTCCACGGGCTACGACGTGTATTTCAACCCAAAATCTCACGTCCGCAACCTCTTGCCTCGGAGCGAACCTGTGCCGGGCTGTCGATTCGCGCGCGGCCGGGGGGTCAGCGAGGCGTCCGTGCCTGGCGGCGCCTTTGTCCAGCCGCTATGCAAGTTGTGCGCCATGGGGCGGCGGGGCGCCCTGCGCGGCGCGTGTGAGTTCAGGTATGTTGAAAGAACGCGGCGACTGGGATCGCTGTCTGGGCGATGCCAGCCCATTTTTGGTCCGCGGCTTGCCGTCGGACGGAGTGCCCTCGAGGTAAGGCGGCGGTGAAATCTTATTTGCTCCGGCGAGGAGCA